ATGTGAAGGTCAGACATCGTTAGACACTACGATGCACATGTGATCGCGTGTATTGTGAGTGTAGTGTTTGTGCGAGGTGACGGTGGCAAGACGCAGAGGGATGAGTGTACGCTCAATCAGTCTTTCCCAGACACAGATGTCCAGATGGCGCAATGAGCCTCAACTGGCCCCTGCAGCAGGGCCACCACACATGGACAGACACACAGTCAGACACACACACACACACACACACACAAACACACACAAACACGCACACACACACACACACACACCGCGCGCTTTGCCCGCTGTGCCTCAAGCTTCTCCATCTCCGCCTTTCGTCGATCGCTCTCCTCCGCCAACCGCCGGCGCTCCTACAAGCGGACGTGACCGTGGGAGTGCACAGTCATGTATGTGAGTCGAGAACAGGCGGGTCAGCTCGTTATCACGTGACACCCCTCCCACACACACACGTTCATACACACGTACACAAGTTCACACACACACACACACACACACACAAGTTCACACACACACACACATACACACACATACACACACCTCCTGGCGGCGGCGCTTCTCTGCCTCGATTTCGGCCTTTGTCTTGACTTTGGCGTTTTGCTTGAGGCGAACAAACTCGTCACGCGAGAGTACAAGGACCGGGTTCTCGGGTTCCTTGCGTGGCACCCTGATAACAAGACGGCAATACAACAACACCGACGCAGAGGAAGGGGGGTGGGTTGACGAGGCATTCAGAGCCGGGTAGAGAGAACAGCGTGGCACGCAAGCCATGCGACATGCACACGGAGCCTGCAGAAAACAAGAAACAAACCAGCACAAGAAGTTTCCATCTCTATTTCATTGGCCTCACCTCAGCGTGCGAATGCCATCCTTGGTGACAATGGTGCGCACTTCGGGCTTGTTCTTCTTTGTGGCGGAACGAGTGCGCGTGCTGAATCTGCCACCCGCACCGTGCTGTGTTGTGCCTTCACCGGCGAAGAACCCGCTCAGCGCGGAGCCCTGTGTCTGCATGCGCCGCGATGCAGGCTGCGTTGAACCGAACAAGAGCTCGTCCTGCAAAAAAGGGAAACAACCCCCCCAAAACAACAGGCAAAGCACGAAGTCAGGGAGGTACCCGTCAGGTGTTGCTATTGTTGTTGGTGGTGGAACACATGATAACGGCTATGCTATGCATGTGTGGTGGTTTCGGGAAACGTACGGCATCGGATGTTCTGCTCACGGTCCTGTACGAGCGGCTCACCGCTCGCGATGTGCGCTTGGACTGCAGCGGCAAACAGCATCGGGTCGAGTGTGCATGGCGTGAGCAGGTGAAGCAGGAAAGAAAGCAAACAGCGGTGCGGGTAGAGGCGGGTTGGCGCAGCAACCAAGCAAGCGAGTCGTGTGGCGCCAACAGAAAAGCAGGGGAGGACGCGTGAAACAGCACTTACCATGATGTCAGGCAAAGTCTGTGTTGTTGTTGTTGTGGTGGTGGTGGTGGTGGGTTCAATGCGATCACACAAATGCGCTGCGTGTGGATATGCGTCTGCGGATGTTCGTGTGTTGTTGCTTGGGGAGTGGCGCTTTTCCGTGGTGGTGGCTGGCTTGTTGTTGTGTTGTTGTTGTTGTCAAGTGTTCCCAACTTGGAATATTATCAATATCTTGTACTAACATTCCACATCATGACAATTTGCAAAACGCCGCCCTCTCGCAAAGCGCAACACATCGCTTGGTCCGAGAGCAGGTCGCTCACCGTCTGAGCTTCACTGGCAGCGGAATTGCGAGAATTGCTACATGACATGACAATGGGTTGGCGTGCTGCTTCCCCAGTAAACCCCCTCCCACCGTCTCTCTCACATGCCTTTCGTCTTCAACGGTGCTTGTGCTTCGTGTGGTGGTAGAGGTCGCGTTTATTGGGTGTGTGTATTTCACGTAATATAATGTCGTATCGTGTCGAGTGCGTGTGTGTGTGTGTGTGTGTGTGTGCATGCGCACAGCGTGTTGTAGAGCACGGGCGATATGCTTGCGTGAGTGGAGTGTTGGGGTTATCATGCCCACCATCTCGAGTGTAAAGTCAAGAACAACGAGGGAAAGCAAGAGCGCTTATCTCTATCCTGTGTACAAAAAAAGGAAAACCGTCAAATACAGAAAAAGCAAAGAACCAAAGGTGCAGAAGGGCTGGGGAACAATCACTGAAGCTGAGCGCACACCTCCCCGTCATAACAAGTGTATTCTGGGTGGCGGTGTTGTTTATGTTTCCACGGGTGCAAGTGCCTCCAACTGGGTGAGGTAGCGTGACCACAGTCGGGGATGGTTGGTTCCATCCTGCATGTATCGATACCTTGACAACCTGAGAGAGAGAGAGAGAGAGAAAGTGTGTGTGTGTGCGTGTGTGCGTGTGAGTAAGAGCAAGTGTAAGTGTACATGCGTGCGTGCGTGGGTATATGCGTGTGTGTCTGTGTGTGTGCGTGCGTGGATATATGCGTGTGTGTCTGTGTGTGTGCGTGTACACGGCCGAGCAGACAATGGA